TAGTTATTTTTTTGTTTTGTTTACTTTTGTGACAAAAAATGATGAATCATCAAGTGTGACAATACTTATGAAAAAGGCAATAAAATTTGAAAGAAAATTTATAATTTTGTTTTAAAAGAAACTTCAAATTATGTTTTAAATAATTATTCTCATTTATTTCAAGATTTCACAAATAAAGATATGCCAAAATTAATTTATAGTTTTTGTCTAAAGAAATTTTCAAATGTTGTTTACAATTTCTATCAACCAAAAATGGTAAATTAAATTATGAATTATATTTAACATTATGTAAGTTATTTTTTAAGGCAAGAAATTGTGAAATGCCTGATGTGCATGGGCAGCATTGTTTCACATCACATTACACAGTTTGTTTGGGGGGCCACAGTCAAGTCCACAAGGGAGAGCACAAGAAGAGCAGGCAAGTGTCAGTAAGTAGTCACACAAAGTAAATAAAATAAAATGTAAAAAGAAATAGGAATAAAATAATGAGTCAAAGGCTGGCATGCAGACTTAGAGAAAAGGGCTGGCTGTGGGGCACACAGCAAAGAAAAGGAAACACGAAAGACATGTACGCACATGGATGTATTGTTGGACCATGTTGTCGACGTCGGTCGAGCAGTACTTGTGCAGTTTCACATAGTGGCCAGCCTGTTCCTCTGCAGTGGCATCATCATTGTTGGCGTCATCAGCCATCGGCATCGGGAGTTGCCCTCGGGGCAGTCAGGGCGCGTCAGACGAAGAAGGGAATCGACATGCCGCCGTTGACGTCGAGCAGGAAGGTAGTGTGCCAAAAATAGAGCAGGTAGGTGTGAGAACAGGGACGCAAGATACGCAACAGAACAGCCTCGAACGCACCGAAGATGATCACTGCTACGTCCACAGAATACAACACTCCCAGCTCATATGCCTTCTTGAACAGCCCATTCTTTCGCTGCACGCCATGGGTAATTTCGACGCGCCAGCCAAGAACATGCAACAGACAGACCGTGCAGCACAGCACACAGAGTGGTTACTGACAGCGGACAGCCGACAACAAGGGAGACATAAAAATAAATATGCGTTAGCCTCCGTCGAAATAATTATAGCGAGCACACAGTAGCACAGCAGGGCAACTCGGTCAATGCGTCACAATAGCACTGCAGCTCCTGCACAACGCGTTGCACAAGTGTGCATAAGCAAAACTGAGAACACAACTCACCTTGAGTATTAAGCAGTTGTGCTCGTGCTACCAGTGCCTGCAGCAGAGAGAGAGAGAGAGAGAGAGAGAGAGAAGATCAGCATGGCAAACTGAATTGCACAAGAAAATAGCACAGGGGAGAGAGAGACAGGACGATGGAGATAGGCTAGCAGATGGAGAGGGACATGGAGATGTTGCACTGTTAATGGGGTAATCTTGATCTTGCAGCGACCCATGGTGCACGTCTTCGGACGAGGTCAATGTAATACAGTTATTCAGTAGTAGAGCAGCTGGTTGTGTCGAACACAGCAGCGAATATTGAAGGAGTTGTTCAAGTCGTTAACTTGATGGAAATGAACATACACGTGACTCTTGTCTGTGTGGGAAAACACATGGGGCATTTCACAATTCCTTACCTTAAAAAATAACTTACATAATGATAAACATTATTTGAAATTTATTTTCCCATTTTTGACCAGCAAAAATTATAAACAAAATTTAAAACTTTCTTTATACAAAAACTAGAAATTATTGTTAACATTTCTTCATTTGTGAAATCTTAAAATAAATAGAGATAATAATCTAAAACATAACTTCAAAATAAAATTAGAAATTTTCTTTTGAATTTTTTGTTATTCCTCTGTACTAGTAATGAAGAAATTTAAAAGAAAATTTCTAATTTTGTTTTGAAATTATGTTTTAGATTATTATTTCTATTTATTTTACTGTTGTTTTCATAAATATTGTTACACATGTGATTTGTGATTTTTGTTACACTAAGTACACTCAAATACAAAATCTACTATAACTCAACTAATACTTAACCAAATTACATGATCTAAGTTGTAAAAATTATACTTTTGAAATATCTTTCATACTCCAGAAAAAATGAAGTAAAATGAGCAAAAATTGAGCAAGATACAACACAATATGTGAGTTTTCCCTATATTTTATATATATGAGTTTTCCTAGCCCTAAAACTGATTGTACAATACTATTGAAACTCCTGTAAAGTGTCTAGAGAAGAACACAGGTGATTTGTTAAGTTTGAGGGGGAGCTAAACTACAAGTCTTATAAGACTAGAGTGGTTCTGAATAGGTGTAAGTTCTTCTAGCACAGTTGTAACCTTGGAAGAGAGACATGAATAATAGAATGTGTACTTGTAAAGTGCACAACAAACAAACTGATACAGAAACAATAAAGACTAAGACTATGCCTCATACTAGAGGACTTTAAGACCAAATGACA